TGGTGTTGTTGACGGCTCCATTCAGGTACCTCCTATGTATACAGTGAATTTTAATAATCAACAAATCGTTAATACAGAGTATTATCACTGGCTTCGAGTAGACCAAACCATCCGTTCCTGGTTGTTTGCTACTCTTTCTCGTGATGTATTAACTGATGTGCATGATATTAAACATTCATTTGGTATATGGGATCGTTTACAAAAACGCTTTATGTCGGCTAGTTTACCTCGAGCCATGGAACTTAAGCGTACCTTGAATGCCATTAGAAAGAAAGAAAACCAGTCCATGGAAACTTATCTGCTTGAAATTAAGAAAGTTGCTGATGCTTTAGCTACAATTAATTCCCCTGTGAGTAACAAAGAATTGTTACAATGCACGTTATATGGACTGGGACCTGAGTATCAATCAATTGCGGGCACCATCTCTCTTTTTCCTGAAAATTTCCCCCCAGATATTCTCCACCCTAGATTGGTGTGATCTAGCTTGCAATAAAAGTTAATATAATATCCTGGTTTTTAATTACTTGAGGAGATCAACACACGGCTTCATCTTAATTACTTGAGGAGTATTTAGCATATCATTTGAAAGAATGGCACGGATATTAGTTCTCAGCTTTGATCGGACAGAAATATGACCGATTTTCGTTTGGACAAAAAAGGAAGTAAAACCAGGATTAGTTCTACGCTCGACTTCTCTGCGCGTCCAAGTCCTGCTCTCCCAGATCCAAAATCAGACAAAGCTACCTTCTCTACACTCGGTCCAAATGACCAAATCGGACAAAGATAAGCTTTTCTCCTTCGCCTCCATCTCCGTCGTGGTCTCCTTCTTCTCGTATCTTCTTCGCCAATGGAGGCTGATCTATTTAATTTAGTAAAATTAAATCGGACGAAGAGAAGCTCCTCACATCGCCTCCATCTCCATCGCAGTTAAGGGGGAGGTGGACGCCGCCATCTTCATCCATGGAGGCTGGATCGTCGCAGGTACTGGAGCTCATTAGAGTGCTGAGTTGCCGATGCCACTGGAGCTCAGGGACCGCCGCCGCCGCCACTGTGTGAATTGTCGGTACCAGATTTGTTGGATTGTCAATGGAGCGTGGTTTTCCGGTGTTGGACGTTTGGGAGGGGGATGGGGATAGAGGTTTTCCTGTGCTGGACGTTTGGGTGGGGGCAGGGGATGGGGGCTGGTGGGCTGGTGGGCTGGGTGGTTGTGGAGGGGGCTGGTTTGGTTGGGGAGGGGCTGGTGGGTGGGGGAGGGGATGGTGGGTGGGGGAGGGGCTGGTTTGGCCATGGTTAGGGGCAGCAGCAATGGTGTCACTAACGGAGGTGGTTGCCGGAGCTGAGTGCGAGTGGGGTCGGGGTGGCTGCTGATAGGTCGGACGAAGGCAATTTCATTGACCGGAAACGATCACAGTGACATGTTTTCCGGCGACAGTGACACGGATGGTGGCTACAGTGACACGGGCGGTGGCTACAGTGACACGGCGGTGGCTACAGTGACACAGGCGGTGGCTACAGTGACACAGGCGGTGGCTACAATGACATAAAATTTAATAGTGACATACAAATCTGACAGACAATATCTTTTTTCAAATATATGACCTTCTTGATCACTTTTTTGTCTCTTTTTAAAAGTGGTCACTTTTTGGATAATTGGTTCAAAATTAGTAATATTTAAATAAAAACCCCATCAATTTTTATGAAACAATGGTTTTTATATCCATAGGAATCATTTTAACTATTGAATTTTAATTATTAAACTTGATTTAATTATTCACATGGATAATTAACTTCAACCTTGCTATAGGTACCCCAATTTGTACCTCAACCTATTTGTGTGGCTCACAAAAGCTCACTTCAATAAATGAATTGCTCCACTTTAATGAGTTGCTTTTGTGAATCACAAAAATAAGGTGAGGGTACAAATTGGGGTACCTCTAGCATTTTTTAATTAACTTTATCATGAGTCAACCTTAAAAATTACTACGTACATTTCAATTCGGATATTATTTTACCAAGATCGAAGTAATGCCTAGGAAAACATCGTGATAACTGATAAGTGTGCATTCTTATCACACTCATCTCATACTTATCACCATAATCCTAATGATATTATTATGACAATGATGCATTGATGCGCCGTATCACTACATTACATATTTAATGCAAATTCAAATGACAGGAACCGTGTGAGTTCACTCTAGAATCTAGATAAAAGAACACTTCAAGACCTAAATTTTTTACACATAAATACGGAGTATCAAGCATTATTAACGATTCAATCAATTATTTAGAAGATGCTGCGTAATTTCATTGAATAAAATTTCAAGGAGAAACTGACCCTTCAACGTTGAACAAATAGAAAAAGTTTTACTCCGCATGTACTAAACCCTTTGTGTCAATATATAAATTTTGAGCCATCTGATCACTTTTCATGGGTCGTTTGTTTTTTGAAAAATGATTTGTGTACCCAAAAGTTGTACACTTGTCTGTCCAGTGCAAATAAATTGTCTGTCCAGAGGTGAGTTATCGGTGGACAGACAACTCATTTCCAGATAGACAATTTATTTGCGCTGGACAAACAAGTGTACAACTTGTGTCTACATCTAGCACCACTCTTTGTTTTTTGGCTATTTAGTGAAAAAGCTTGATCAAAACACTACATTTAGCGGCGATACCCAAAATGAGTGAAACGTCAGTGCCCAAATGAACCCTATGTATCACTCCGGTATTAAGTAAAAATGAAACAGGAACCCTTAATAGAGTTCTGGTTTGTCCTTAATGTGCGACAATGTATGATTAATTATATGATTTTGGTGCATATATGCATTAGCAATTTCAATGAAACCATAGCGCATTACTACACTAGCAAGTTCAATGAAACCAAATTTACTGGCAAAAATAAGTCATCACAGAATGTTAATTTGGTACACTAATAGTAATAACTTTTTACAAAGTCCAAAACCCCCCAAATTTGAAGCTGATGACCTTCCAAAACCAGGCATATTTTTACATTATGACAGGGTTACATTACAGAACCCATTAAAAACAGGAACAGAAAAACAAAAATAATTATGGGTAGAAAAAAATGGCCAACCTCAAATTTCCTTGAAACATTTTTTCAAGTCCAAATAGAAGACCACATCCTCTCACCAATAAAGCTCACAAATCTCTTCAGGGCCCCACCTTCCTCCTCCCCACCACTACAATTATTACCACTATGGGTTGAGTGAAACTCGGCCGAGTCAGACTCATCCGACTCGCTCCGTTTCGAACTCAACTCGGAACTGTTCATCAACTCACTGGGGCAAACAGAGGAGGAAGAAGAAGACCCAGACACTCTGTTCTTCCTATTGCTGCTCTTCCTTTTCTCTCGCTTGTTCTTCTCCGCTCTCTTCCTCTGCGACACTAATCCGTCTTCGTAGGCGTCGATGATTTCGTGAATCAGCTGGCGGTTCGGGGAAGAATCCCACCTCACCCAGTAACTTATATAGCAGCTGAAGCAGCAGCAGTCGAAGCAGGGTGAGTGGGCTTCGGGGCCGCCCTTGCCTCCGCCGCAGACGGCGGCGGAGCTGGAGGATTTCCTGTCAGTGGTGGAACTGGAGCAAGAGATGAGATAGGCCAGGACTTCTTTGTCTTCTTGGCCGAGGGCGACGGTCAGAGCTAAGATCGCCGCAGGTAAGAAAGCTAGCTGGGTTGAGACTGGTGGCGGCGTGGGATGAACTGTGCTTTTTCTGTAAAGCTTCTTCATGGTCGTTCACGGCGGCGGCGGCGGCGGTGGAGGGTTAAGGTTTTCTTGAGGGTTTGGGCAGCCAAATTTTTGTTGTTTAAGAGTAAAGAAAAGAGGGAAAGCTAGCTTTGTCAGAGTTGGTGATATACTTGTGGGGTTTGGTCAAAAGCAAAGGAGGGAGTTTTTTTCCTGTGGTACGCCGGTGTACGTAGCAGTCCCGTGGGTAGTCATCCGCATCCAACCGGCACTGACCTATGATGAGCCTATCTGGTCCCACAATACTTTACAGGCAGAGAATCGATATCTTTTTTAGAGAGAGAATCTCATTCATTTTCTACCCTTCAAATTCAAATTATCCTGCCCTATTTGTTTTCAATTTCTCCGATAAAATTTCCATTTTTAATTGGTGTGGCTGAATTGATTTAAAATTCTTGAGAATTATCTTAGCCACTTTTACATATACGGAGTATATTTCTTTAACTTATTAATTTATTGATAAAATATAGGGGTAATTTAAGTTTGCACCTCTGCACCTCATTTATGGTCTAAATTGGACTTTGCACCCTGCTTTAAAAAATCTTTATTTTTGCACCTCAACCGCATATGAAAAAAGACAAAAAAGCCCTCCATCAGGAATATGTTGAAGGCCAACAAAATTGTTAATGGAGGGACATTTTTGTATTCTCACATGGGGTTCGGGATGCAAAAACAATGTTTTTTAAACAAAGGGGCGCAAAGTCCAATTTGCACAATAAAATGGGGTGTAAACTCAAATTACATCTAAAATATACTCCGTACGTAAAAGCAATTTTTCATAACTTGCCTATTCAGTTGAAATTTCAACCATTTTAACAGATTTAAAAATTCAGTCAATTTTAATGTTATCGCTCATTTCTCAGGTCAACTTTCTTTCACATTTTTTGTTGTGAAATGTGTATACCAATCATTTTTGTCATATTTTTCCTCTCTATTAACATTTGAATTAGTCAACTTCATATTTAGTTCTACACAAGCATATCAAGTGTAAAAAGGAGAACCTTTTAGAAGTCCTATTTCAAATGCATTTTGTAAAGCTGAAGAAAAAGTTTAGGCGGAGAAAATATATTCCCATTCTCAAAAGCACATTTTCTCATTTCCATGAAACTGCATATCCATTTTCTTCTATAAAAAATAAAGAAGAAGAAAATCAGTTGATTTTATAGAGTACTTCCTGAATCAAGACAGGAAGTTGTTAGAAGCAGTTGTTAGAAGCAATAAAGAAAGAGGAATGGAACAGGAAAGAGATTTACAACTATAAAAAAATGTTTATGAAGAATCCGATCAAATGGGACCTTTAGAGTCTGTTTGGATAATAGGCTTGTGGAGGAATAAGATAATAGGTGGATCATATAACACTAACTATCATATATTTTGTTTTTTTAAATACATTTGAGTTTATTCATCAAGATATTCGACGTCCAAAATCGTCCATCCAAACTAACCCTTAAGAAGAACTATGGAGACGAGCCTTGATCCAGGATTCCAAATATCGCAACTCCTCCTGGTTTAGAGAATGGCCGAGGCCGGGATAAGCCTGAAAGTTTCAAGAATAAGAGTTTGTGCATTACAAAACATGCTGATGAATAAAACTTCGTTTGGTAGGGGTGGTTGGGTTGGATGGAGATTGGAGAAGTAACTACCTTAAACTCGAAGGGAATACCCGCTCTTTCCAGGAAAGGTGGTCCAGCTTGTCCAGCTTCAAACAGTACTGTTTTATCTGCCATGCCATGAGACCACAAAATAGGTGTCTGCAAAACATTTTGAGCAATATAAGTAACCTCAATTTAATTTTATCTGAATCTGTGAAAGATAAATATGTGCATGAAATGGATAGGCAGTTCTTTTTAAACCAATGTTTAAGTGATCGCTGGGGCGGAAGACATAGGCTGCTCCTATTATGTGTGTGTGTGTCAATCGCTATTCCTAACCTAGCGTCTAGCGGTTAGGCGGAGCCTAGGCAGCGGGCAGAAAATACATTCATTTTTATTAATAGATTTGTATAGATACAATAATAATGTAGTAGAATATACATACTAATATGTATCAATGATAGAATCTTAAATTACAAAAGAAATTAATAATGAATCATGAAGCTCAATTATGTAATAGGTATTAGATAATGTATAGCATAAAAGTGTTTGCAATTGGGGCACCCGTACACGGTACATCACATTTGATATGTTGTGGTTAAAAATTGCGCTAAAAGCTTAATGTCCCTTATTTTAAATTTTGTGCGAAACTGCAAATTATATCGTACATCCAAACATATCTATATTCAGTGAAATTTCCTAGACTTTACAACGAATGTTTATTGTATACTCATGCTCATGCAAGTTTTTACCCAGATCAATTTTCTTCTAAAATTTATTCATTTGTACATCCAAAAAATAGTTTTTTTTATGTTCGATATACGATGATAAGTATAAAGTCAATGCAAACATGTCAAATTAATTACCTTTTTTGCCTCAGGTGTTAGATTCTCAAGTATAGAATCATTAAAAGGAACCCATCCACTAAACACAGCACCGCCTCCTAGAGTTTTTGGGTATAGCAGAACACTTGCTAAGGTCAAGGCACCTAAAAAGTAAGTCAATGGTAGACCACCACACTGTGAGCAGAGAATCCATGCATAATCTATAGCTATTTAGGGTCTGATGGAATCAGGAATATGCTAGGGAAAGAAAACAGGGAAAGAACAGAGATATGGGAGGAAGCAGGAAATTTTTGAAAATCCATCCAAATTAAAAACATCAATTTTACACATTTGTTCAAACTCGTTTATTTATACAATTGTGAAAAGTGTCGAGCAGGCCCTCTTGCCACCTCCAATTCCTCAATTAGGCCCTTGTATCTCAGAAACACCCAATTGGACACACCGACTTGTTAAAACTCTCAATTAGCAATTTTATCTGGTTAGCATAAAGTTGGGATTTTCCTGCCATAGCATCTCCATCTCACTTTCGCATTCTACAAAAATGGTAGATGATTTGGAAATGACGTGGCGATTATGAGGCAGTAAGGTGACAACTTTACTTGGAAACATGTTGACAATCTGCTAAAATTGTTAATTAAGTGTTTCTAACAAGTTCATGTGTCTAATAACGTGTTTGTTGGGTACGAGAGCCTAATTGAGGTATTAGATATATAAAGAGGACCTAATCTTAAGTTTTCCCTTTATAATTCAGTAATTCTACTGAATAAAAACAAAGAAACTTAAGTATACTTTAACTTTAAAATAATGATTTGCCTTCGTTTTTTCAAAATCCAAACCAAACAGAAAATATATATTTTCTATATCACTTTTTTTCTTTTCCCCACCACTTTCTCGTTCTAAACATTATCTTGTTCTTTCTTATGAAGGGGATGAGTGGGTTGGGTGTTACATCAGAGAGAGATGGGGGAGGGAGGGAGGGAGGGAGAGGGGGAGGGAGGGAGGGAGAGAGAGAGAGAGAGAGAGAGAGAGAGAGAGAGAGAGAGGAATACCCCCTTGGCTAAATCCACAAATAAATATGTCCTTAGGATTTGTGCCATCAGTGACCTCTTTGTCTATCATAGCATGAACATTTTGAACTGCTTTTAGCACACCACTTTCATCATTTGGGGAGCTCTGATTGAATGATTAATAATCAATGCATTTTCAACATCAACTGAATCAGCTAAAGATTATCAGAGGCCTATACTTAGCACTTAAGCAATATAAAAGCACATAGGTAACCCATTGTCAGTCAATTTAGGATGATCAGCAAGACATGCACATTAGTGATTGTCCAATAGAGTAAAGCATTAAAGTTTGTCAACCAATCACAAGTATTAAGTTATACACATTTCAATAAAAGAGGACAATGACTGAATGACATCAATATCACCCAAGTAAAGACCACGTTGTGTATCACTAAATTATTTTGGCTACGAATATATAATAGAAATAGAATTAATTGTAGTTATGTTGTAAACCATCGCTCGTTTATTTTTTTTTAACTTTTAACCTTTTTGTATTAATACTCCCTCTGTATGTATGAAAGTTCAAGGTTCAATTTATCATGGTTGACCAATTATAAAGATAACTCTTCCCAGATGATCTATAAATTTATATTAGTAACTAAAATTCACATACTTGGAAAATATACTAAAAGTTCCGTTGGAAAAAAAAAACTGAATTCAAATACCGAGTATGATAGAAACAATAACATAAAATCATAGATAAAAAGTGTTAGGTTGATAGTATGAAGAGTGTTTCAGAACCTTAAATTGGGAATGAATGAGGTATACTTTAATACGAAATATGTAGTAGTATATATTAAGCACAATTATAATCTAAAAAACTAGAAAACAAAAGTTTGAACCTTTTGCTTCAGCCGCATGATTTAACAACTTATCTTAAGCTATGAAACAAAAGTTTGAGTCTTTCTCTTCAGATATATAATTTAACAACTTATCTCAAGGTTCTAACTACAATTCCACCACGGATAGATAAGTATGAAAAAAAACTCATAAAACGAAGCAAGACACAACTAAAGTCAAATGCAGAAGTCGGTTTTAAGATGTAGTAGCATCTTACTGCTGACACTGGTATTTCGTGTAGGTCAAACCATGACGGCATCACAGCACCATCTAAATAAAAAAAAAAAATCATTTCCATCATAGCCACATCAGTAACTAAACTTGTTTTATGGAATGCATATTAGGAAAAGTTCTTTAACTAACACAGTAAACTAGAAAGCTACTAAACAGCCACAGCATCAACAAAACTCATATAAAGAATGATGTTTTCAATGGGAGTGTAATGTATCACTAATCACTATATTAGTTAATCATTCGGTTGGCGAAATTCATATATTAATCCATGTTTGGTTCAAACATACATTTTGTCTTTGTAGAAATTCTAAGCTACTTTGGTCCTACCCCTTACTAAACGTACACCGTTCATTTCAAAAGACCATTATATATTGAGTAGAAAGCTTATCCAACCAATATATATACTGACATTTGTAATATGTATAAAAATATGTATACTAATAATGTATGTGTTACAATATACAAAAATGCTAGTATAAATACATTTCGTTTAGAGTACGGAACTGCCAATTGAACTCGACACGGGTATATTCCTCTCCACCCAAAGCCAAACATTGAACTCTAAACTTTAATATGGTATCAGAAATCTGTATGTGATTAACTTCTTTATTTGTTTCGAACACATGGTTTAAGGTAGCCCGTTAGGTACGATTATGCCCATTTATCAACCTTCAAATGGTTCAATCCGGTTACTTTGTGAGGCGTGTTAGAATATTTTCTGGTTAAATATAAAAGCAGAGATGTCCTATATGCTTAGGTGGATCTGCAATTACACACCCGCTGATATTCCCTAACCCTGCCTTCTTAACTCTCAAAGGACGTTAGGCTAAGATGTGAATATGTGATGTAATTACTTTGGATTCAAAATATAGGGATTTAAGAAGTTAATTGTTTGGTTTGATTATTAGCTTATTTTATCCCAAACTATCATCAAATTCACAAATCTATCCTATTCTTTCACTTTTATAAAAAAAAGAATCAAACTTCATCTTTTTTAACAGTTATGGTTTTCTTCTTTGTTTTTCTCAAAATTACAAATTTTATTAATGCCAATAAGATATAAGTAATACAAGTTTGTAAACTTAAAACTAGAAAGGAGTGAAAAATATAAAATATAAATATGATTTCGTTCTTAAGTTTTACTAATTCATCTATTGAAAATGTAATTGTGAGAAAAATTGAAGTTTGAGTCTTTTTTTAATAAAAGTAAAAGTAAGGGATAGATTTGTGAATTTGATGATAGTTGAGGATATATTTAGCTAATACGGAGTAATCCATTATTTAATGTAAAATTGTAAATTATGGGAGATTTTTATAAACATTTCGCATAGTATCATTAAAACATTTTGGGGGACAATGGTAAAATACTTCAAAAGCTTTTTAAAAAGTAGCGCAATTGATTGCTTTGCGCGTAATTTAAAAATAAATTATACCCCTAGGCCCCAACAAAACAATGTGTTTTTATTTCAGAACTGGTTGTTCCCTAAACTTTGCATTCATTTTGAGTGTAACGTTTTAATGTGCAACCTATCAAAGTCTAAAGCAGCCCTTACTGTAGACTGAAGTCACCAAACAGAAGAGAAAATAGAGTGCAAAGAATGACAGCAATGGATTACTATGGGGCTTTATTAATCATTAGCAACTCCAATGAAACTTGTATGTGTAATTATGTAAGGAATGTAGAGATTTTATTCTCAAAATACTCTAATACCAGATATTCGATGCTAAGACATTTCCCCAAGACCCAAAGTTCGAACTTCATCCCAATGCACATTTTGATTCAATGAGATGGATTTTACTAAATCAACTTCATTTCCATAACTCCATTTGCGACCATTCTCCAAAAACTACCAAATAGCCCAATCCGAGAAAAATTAAAGAAATTCGTAGGGAAAATTTGTATCAGTTAAACTTCAAAAAAGGAAATGGGTGTAAGAATTAGTTGTGGACTTACAGTTACATGTGACTGGATTCTTAGGTGCAGAAGGAAACGACCACTTTGTGTTCTTGAACTCGGGAGAAGTGAAGAGGTTCTTAATGGGCTCATTGGCGGGTCCCGAATCGCCCAACCCGTGGAGCCACAGGACGAAGCTTCGGGCCATCGGATCGGGTTTGCTGGGAGACGGGTTTAACGGGCGGGGGAGCAAGATGAAGAGAATTGTGAAACTGATGGTGACTGTGAACGCAGCTGCTGGCTTTAGTAAGCGATCTAAATGAGACTTCATCATTTTTGGACTTTCATGGCGGTGCCGTAGATGATCCAGTATAATGTACTTCCATTTAAAACTCATTTTTAGCTTATTTTACAAAAAAGATCAATTGAATGAAGTAATTAAATGCATAGGGGATCAACAATAGTTTTAAAAAAAATGTAAAACCTCTTCCCCGCGACCTACCCCGTGTTTTGTATTGCTCCAATACAATTATTATCTGTGTCCCACTAATATTGGGACGTGATGAAGTGGTACAGTTATTAAGAAACATGAGTTTATGTGAATGATATTTAATTGATAAAGTAATAATAAATAATAAATTAAAAATGATTTAGAACCACGCAAATTTTATCAGATTTGGTATGAAACAATCTTAGTGAGATGAAGTGATGAACTGAAAAGGTGAGACAATCCTAGCGGGACGGGGTGAGTATTATAAGTCTCAAATTAATTCCATTACATCTAAAGTTAGCATCCTAAAACAGGAAATCTTAAAACACTACTAGATTTCTGATGTTTTTCCAAACAAACATATCAAAATTAAGGGCTTTCTAAACCTGACATATTTTTAGTATAAACTTTTACACATGAACAACAATAAGTGTAGCAGTCGCACAACTTTTCTCATACATCATCCGTCATCTTGATGAAAATGGTGAGTTTAACTTCAGAGAATTTGATGATCATATAAAGATAATTAATGATTTTAGCTTATTCTCATTCTATTGTTATTATGTCTTATTTTTTGACATTATTTTACAAAATTATGTCTTTGACTTAATTACTATTTTTATTTATGTCATCCACTTATGCAATAACTGCAATCGCTAGGGTGCAATTCTTATATGTATGTCATCCACTATTTTTATTTACTATTTTTATTTATGTCATCCACTTACATGGTGCCATAAGTTGAGTCTTTCCTTTAATGCTCTATATGTATCTCCTTTTTATGTTGTACATTTATCATTGGTAAGCATGGCTAGGGTGTAATTCTTATACAAGAAAAGCAAACAACAATAATATGGAATATATTTCATATTGCTTCAAGAACATCTTTTTAATGAATTGGTGCTTTGCATTTGTTTGTGAATAATGCATTCAAAACTCTTTTAAAACTTAAAATATTTGAAAATCACACTAAAGATTGTGTTAGACCGGTTGTTATCTACTTCGTTTATGATATTTGTGTATGGAAAGAAAACAGAGATTTAACAATAGAGCCAGATTGAATGTTCAAATTTCGTAGAGAAGAATGTGAATTGTTTGATTTCAAGGCAAAATGTTATTATATGGAGTATTGAAATTTTAAAAGCAATGAGATTATTTGAAAAATCAATTATTTTTCATAATCAACTTTTTACTACGAAAACTTTCCATATTGAGATTTTGAGACTTGAGTGTAAAGATGTTTTTACCTGGACCGAATAGTTATGAACTAGTATTCCACCCGTGTGTTGCACGGGGTGTAAAATACTTATACTCTAAACTCCAATGTTAAATAAAATTAAAGATTATATTATAATTTATCAAGGGAATGAGAGTAACCATTAATAAATATGTAATAAAAAATATTTGAAGTTTAATAAGCACACAAGTTACAAATTATTGAAAACTTCTTTGTAGGCAACATTTTTTGCGGTATTTTTTCTGATTTCCCTCGTTGTCGCGTATCACAAACTTCAAGCCAGACGGGCTCGTCACCTAAACTGCAACATATAAATGTCCATGTGTAAAAACAGGACGTCGTAGAAAGACACCCACATTTTCTAAAGATTGTTCTTGGCTCTTGTTCATCGTCATCGCATAGCTAACCATCAAGGGGAATTGCCTACGCGTAAATGTGAAAGGGAGCCTCACATCCGATGGGGTTAGACTTATCCTGGGAATAAGAAACTTCTCACCTGCATTAGTTCCAGACATCATCTGTGACTCAATAATATGTGCACCAAGTTTTGTCACTAAAAGTCGGGTACCATTACACAAGCCGGCCGAGTGATCTATATTCCTCATGAGCATCACCGGTACACCAACTTTTAGCTTCAACTCGTGACTTGGAACACCTGAACATTTTATTCCGTTAAGGAACTCGGGAGAATGGATTTCTTGAAGGAGCCCATTGTCTGAGGTAGAGGAACACGCTGAATCAGAACTGAAAACGGTCTTTTCCTTTGAGCTATTCTGTAGCAACATGAAATCATTGATCTTGTCTACCTCATCAATTGTCGATGCAAGAATCGCTCTCCCTTCTAGATATGAGATGTTGTTCGTGTTTTTCAAAAAAACAGGATAAGTAGTGCTGACAATGGGGTGGGGGTGATGTTCACCCTCTTTTGAGAGGTAAACAAAATTTGGTTCTTTCTGTTTAACTATGTTTTCTTTTGGACTGAAATTTGTTTGTCTGGTCTGGGACTGAAAATTGTACAAAAGAAAACATCCTAAGTATCACTCATCCCATATTATCAAAAAATCTCAAGGAGCACCATATATCACCTAAAGGTTGGAATTGATAAAAGAAAGCTACGCACTACGTATGTCGGTATGTGATATGATTCCCTAGTCCCATTATAAAATCATGCTAAATCATTGTACATAATTAAAGAATAAGGGATGATCATTTATGTGAGGTTTATATGTTATTATATCATTGGTGAATTAATAACTATATACGTATGCAATCATAGGGATGATCATTTATGTGAGGTTTATATGTTATTATATCATTGGTGAATTAATAACTATATACGTATGCAATCATACGTCCCAGAATTGACACTCTTCATTTGTTATCAATACAATTCGATCAACCTTAACATTGCTGAAAATAGTTGTGCTTCATACATTTGGTTTGATACCGAATCATCCATCCCGGAATGGCAGAATTGACACACTCTTCCTTTGTTATCAATCCAATTCAAACAACATTAACATTGATGAAAATAACTATATAAATATTATTATTATGGTCAGATTTTGTTTGGGACACAAAAAATTAGAGAATACACAAAATATTTTGACCAAAAGATTGTAGTAATCGAAGCACACATTATTGTGAATGAAAATTTAATCAACGATTTAAATCCAAACCGTGTAATAGGTAAACAAAATATCAGTGCAAAGCAAAGTCATATATTATCCAAAAAAAAGAAAAAGCAAACAAAGAGTTTTCAAAAGAAAAACTGAAAATTGTCATGGCTTTTCAATTTTCACCGACTTCAATTTCTTATTAGATGATCCTTGTGTTGAGACGTCGTCATTAGGAGTTAATGTTCCTTCTCCTAATTTTCGACGTTGTAAAGTTGAATTTGGAGTATCGACTGCATCCCTTTCGGTGTCGGAAGTAATCTGCATAAAAAAACTTGGAATAATATGAGCGTAGGCAATTGACAATTTACAGAATGGATGACTGGGTAGAGGCAAGGTTAATAACATTCTCAATGTATAAGAACCCGCGAAACAAACATAGTGGTATAAAAATAACTTGGAATGCACATTTAATATTCACTTTCTCAATGTATAACAACTCACTTGCTTTATAAGCTCAAAAAACAAAAAAAAAAATCTAGCGATCTAAAACACTTTTCAAACTCCAGAATAACATTAAAGTTCATATATAATCATGGCTTAGATTCTGCTGGAGAAACAACACATTAGTACTCTAGAAAACAACTTTACTTAATGTGTCAGTCTATCATTTAGTTCACAACTTATTCTAATTCTATCATTTTATAAACCAACATAACATGAATGTAGGCAATTTACCATATACAGAATGGATGACTTGGTTTGAAGTTCAAAACCTTCAACCCTTAAGGGGCATGGCCAAATGAATATTTCAAGTCAATAGTTCAAAAAAAAAAAAATCAGTTCACAATCATGTGTTAATTGCTTATCATAAACCTCAAACATTATGCAAAACTTCCTTTACAATTCAAAATCATGAATAGTCTAAAATATATTATCAATTATACATAAGTATAGGTCATAAATAAGTTTCACATACCCCTATGATAAGTTACACTCTTTAGAGAAAAGTAATTAAGTTTTTTGTCCTAAATAAAATCAGAAAAGTTTTTAAATGGGAGAGTCTAATTATCTGAAGAAATCAAATATAAAGAAAACCTTAAAGAAAGCTTAAAGAAGTTCTGTTGCATCTGCTACCTAGAGATGCATCCATAGCCCTCTTCCATAGTTAAATGGCTGAATTTTTCCTAGGCTCATGTTGTGTTTCAAGCCTCTTGAAAAGCCCTTAGAAATAAGAATAAACAAAAGGGGTGAGAATGGATCACCCTGCTTCACCGCCCTTCCTGGTTAAAAGAAACCAAAAGGCTTTCCATGGATAAGGATGGATCTATAGGTTGTCTTGAGATTGTTCAGAATGAGTTTTTAAACCTGCTCCTTGAAGCCAAAATCATCCAAAATAGCTAGCAAAAACTTCCGGAACTCTATCAAATGCCTTCTGCATATCAAGCCTGATAGCTACATTGGAGGTTCTCACTGATCTATCCAACACGTGCAACATTTCATATGCAATTAGAATATGGTCATTGACTTCATGGCCCTTAAAAAACCAGCTTGTTCCTCGGATATCACCTTAGGAAGCAATGCGGCCATTCTTAAAGCTAAAACTCAGGTATTAACCTTAGCTTGCTAATAAAAGATTGTAGGCAAATAGGCCTGAAGTCATTAAAGGAGACCACTCTGGATTGAAGCAAACATATGGCAAAGAAAGTCAGCAGATTTGAAATGAAAAGAGAGGAAAGAAAGCACTCATCCCTTATACTAAAAGCACCATATGGACAGATTTGAACATGGCAGACTTAACATCCCTAATAAGCATGCATTTACAGATTTGGGATCCCCTTATTTGTATGGGACACGATAAGTGAGCTCTAACTTCGCAGATTAGCTAATTAAAAAATTCCTCAAACAGAATTTTCATACATGGACATGTTTATAGCAGAAAGTCGAGTGTTTTTCAGCAAAAACTTATAGTTTATGAAATAGGGAAAAGGAACAAACATACCAAGACTGGCAAATGACACATAACATACCTAAAAAAACAAATATACTTCTAACCGTATAACAAAAGTAAAAAGAAATCCCAATCCATTTTCTATTTCATCTCGGTT